GGTTCAGATATGTTGATGATATTTTGTGTCTTATGCCCAAAAATGTAGATATACACCATTTCCTTGGAAAATTAAATAGCTTAGCCCATTCTATTAACTTTACTGTTGAGTTTGAAGAAAATAACTCATTGCCTTTTCTAAGATGTTTTAATTATTAAGGGTAATAATGAATTCAAATTTAAAATTTACAGAAAACCTACAAATAACTGTTCCTATGTCCACTATTATTCCTCGCATCAAGATAGTCAAACTGTCTGTTTTCTCATCAATGTTTTTGAGAGCTTTACGAATTTGTAGTCCTGAGTTCATAGATGAGGAAATATCCAAAATTTATGAAATAGGTAATGATTTAAAATACCCAAGAAATGTAATTGATAAATCTTTTAAAGTTGCTAGAAATACTTTTAAATCCAAAAAGGGACAACCAGCCTTATTCACCTAAAAATATGTTGGATCTCCCTTACCATGAAAACTTGGTTGATATGCCTTCTCTTCTTAAGACTTTTAATATTAAAGTTGTATTCAAAAATCTTGATACAGTAAAAAAACTTGTGATAAAGAATTCCCCCCAAAATGCTGATGGATGTGTGTATAAGATTCCTTGTAAAATTTGCGATAAAGTTTATTACGGTCAAACTGGTAAAAATCTCGAACTAAGATTAAAACAACATAAATATAGCATTAGAACTGGACAAGATTCCAATGCTCTATTTATTCATGCAAGAGATTTTAACCATCCAATTGATTTTCAAAAAGTTGAGAAAGTAGTATCAAGCAAGTCCATGGTCGACAGGAATATAATTGAATCTTGTTTCATAAAAAGCAGTTTTGACAATAATATGAATATTTCCTTTGGTTTATATAAATTAGATCCATTTATAATTAATAGAATTTGGGAAGAATTTAATAATACACTGGACAAATAATAATTTTAAAATTTTCATGGGTAGAATAGTTTGTGAGTGAGTTGTGCAAAGGACCTATCCAAGTTGGGTCGGCGCGCGTCAGGTGTTTAACCGTTGTGGGATCTGATAGTGAGGTGCTGGCCAGACCCCTTATATAGCTTCCTTGGATGCTTTACTTTCATAGTTCCTTGATAATGCGAGTAGTCACGAAAGCGCTTGGAATTTCTCTATTCTTTCAGAGTGGTTGTTTTGCATATATAAAATTATATATAATATATATATATATATATATATATATATTTATATATATATATATATATATATATAATACACTTTGTATGTCGTGCCGAATATGTAAAACTGGTCAATTAGCAAGAACTAAATTTAAAATTAAATCTTTTCTAAAATTTTCTTTTTTTTTTTTACGTTTAAAGATATTTTTTTTCTTTAAATGTTAATGAAAAATTTTTTTTAAATTTTGCACCAATAGAACTTAGAAAACTTACCTAACCTTATTATAACAAGAACAATTTATTTTAGCCTAACCCAACTACATATATTTTAGATTTGTTTAAAATTATTTAATACTAACCAATTTTTTTTATTAACACACTGGCCGATTCCCACCAGGGCGGGGTGGCCCGAAAAAGAAAACTTTTCACCATCATTCACTCCATCATTGCCAGAAGGGTGCTTTACTCTACAGTTTTTAAACTGCAACATTAACACTTCTCCTTCAGAATGCAGGCACTGTACTTCCCATCTCCAGGACTCAAGTCCGGCCTGCCGGTTTTCCTGAACCCCTTCATAAATGTTACTTTGCTCACACTCCAACAGCACGTCAAGTACTAAAAACCATTTGTCTCCATTCACTCCTATCAAACACACTCACGCATGCCCGCTGGAAGTCCAAGCCCCTCGCACACAAAACTTCCTTTACCCCTTCCTTCCAACCTTTCCTAGGCCGACCCCTGCCGCACCTTCCTTCCACTACAGACTGATACACTCCTGAAGTCATTCTGTTTCGCTCCATTCTCTCTACATGTCCGAACCACCTCAACAACCCTTCCTCAGCCCTCTGGACAACAGTTTTGGCAATCTCGCACCTCTTAACTTCCAAACGACGAATTCTCTGCATTATATTCACACCACACATTGCCCTCAGACATGACATCTCCACTGCCTCCAGCCTTCTCCTCGCTGCAACATTCATCACCCATGCTTCACACCCATACAGGGGCGTTGGTAAAATTATACTCTCATACATTCCCCTCTTTACTTCCAAGGACAAAGTTCTTTGTCTCCACAGACTCCTAAGTGCACCGCTCACCCTTTTCCCCTCATCAATTCTATGATTCACCTCATCTTTCATAGACCAATCCGCTGACACGTCCACTCCCAAATATCTGAATACATTCACCTCCTCCATACTCTCTCCCTCCAATCTGATATCCAATCTTTCATCACCTAATCTTTTTGTTATCCTCATAACCTTACTCTTTCCTGTATTCACTTTCAATTTTCTTCTTTTACATACCCTACCAAATTCATCCACCAACCTCTGCAACTTCTCTTCAGAATCTCCCAAGAGCACAGTGTCATCAGCAAAGAGCAACCGTGACAACTCCCACTTTGTGTGATTCTTTATCTTTTAACTCCACGCCTCTTGCCATGACCCTAGCATTTACTAAACAAAGACAGTGAAATACATTTTTTTCGTTAGGTTTAGAATGATTTGGGCGAAATTATTTCATACACAAATTTTCGCTTGTCCTGTATGGCAAGATGAGCGTTGCTATTTAAGCCAAGATCGCAAGTTCTGCCTATTCGGCACGACAGACTATATATGTCGTGCCGAATATGTAAAACTGGTCAATTAGCAAGAACTCATTTAAAATTAAGTCCTTTCTAAACTTTTCTCTTATACGTTTAAAGATATATTTTTTTCATTAATGTTGATGTAAAAATTTTTAATTTTGCACCAAAAGGAACTTAGAAAACTTACCTAACCTTATTATAACAAGCGCAATTTATTTTAACCTAACCCAACTAAATATATTTTAGATTTGTTTACAATAACTTACTACTAAACAAACACAGTGAAATGTATTTTTTTCGTTAGGTTCAGAATGATTTGGGCGAAATTATTGCATACACAAATTTTCACTTGTCCTATATGGCAAGATGAGCGTTGCTATTTAAGCCAAAGATCGCAAGTTCTGCCTATTCGGCACGACATATATATATATATAATATATATATTATATATATATATATATATAATATATATATATATATATATATATATATATATACACTGTATATCTTTCTTCTTTCAACACACCGGCCGTATCCCACCGAGGCGGGGTGGCCCAAAAGGAAAAACGAAAGTTTCTCCTTTTACATTTAGTAATATATACAGAAGAAGAGGTTACTCCCCCCTTGCTCCCGGCATTTTAGTCGCCTCTTACAACACGCATGGCTTACGGAGGAAGAATTTGTTCCACTTCCCCATGGAGATAAGAGGAAATAAACAAGAATAAGAACTAGAAGAAAATAAAGAAAACCCAGAGGGGTGTGTATATATATGCTTGTATGTGTAGTGTGACCTAAGTGTAAGTAGAAGTAGCAAGACGTACCTGAAACCTTGCATATTTGAGACAGAAAAATGGACACCAGCAAATTCCTAACCATCAGTTAAAACAATTACAGGCTTCAGTTTTACACTCACTTGGCAAGGGCGGTAGTACCTCCGCGGGCGTGTGTCTGCCAATCTCTACCTATATATATATATATATATTAATATAAATATATTTTATATATATATTATATATATATATATAAAATATATATAAAAATAAATATATATATATATATTTATATATATATAAAAATTATATATATTATATATATACATTTATAATATATAAATATATAATACAATATTATAAAAATTATATAACATATTTATATATATATATATATAATACTATATTACATATATATATAATAATATTATAACCAAAATATATATATATATATAAATTTTAATATATATATATATACTTTTACATATCTGATAAATAATATAATCAAATATAAACTCACTAAAAAATATAAATATTAATTGAATATAATCATACATATATAATAAAAATACATAATATTATATACCATATATACTATATATAATATATATATATATAATATATATTTATACTATATATTATAAATAATTATATATATATATATACTAATATATATTATATAAAAATTAATTATATATAATATAAACAGATCTAACCACATTTGAAAAAGGAAAAACACCGAGTGGCCCCCAAAACCTTTGGATGTGTGCGACATTGAAAGCTCTAAGGTTGTTTTTTCCGCTCTCATGTGGTATTTATATATATTTGCCATCACGCGTTTATTGTGTATACTTGGAGAGGTTTTTCGGGGATCAACCCCCCGCTGTCCGGTTTTGTGAGAGTCTCCGCGTGGAACAGGGCTTGATCAACCGGCTGTTACTGCTGGCCACAAAGTAGATGACATACAACATCAGCCCAGTTGGTCAGTACTGATTTCAGGTGCAGAATTTATCCTCGATTTGGACTGGATGCTGTATTAAATGTTTCCTAAAAAGCAAATCAGTAACACCAGAATATACAAGTAATTTAACTCTATACTGTCAGAATGACAATGAATAAAATCTGTGGGAACTGTTTACAGTTCCCACAGATTTGTAGTAAAACGCATGTTTCCTTTGGTGGAATTACTTCTGCTGCTAGTAATGAAGTTGAGCAAGAGGAGGAAATGTTATTGGATTTATGAGGGGCAGAGAGGAGTTTGGCCAGGTAGAAGACATGGCACTAACCAATATGATAAACTCTTTCCTGAAGTTTACCGGAAATATAGTATATGAAAAGCTGAAGAACTGTAGATACAGCTCACAGAGCTAGTTAAATAGCAGAAACGCGCGCAGAACAGCAAAGGCGAGAAGAAGAAAAATTCGTCTCGTATGCCATTAGGTGTATCACATGTTTCTTTTTTTTTCCTTCATTTTTTCCAATTCCCGATGCGTTGTTTATTTTCCAGGGGTGTCGTCGACGCCAGAGGTGCTGCAGGAGGTTGACGTCGAGGTGCTGAGAAATGACGTGTGTCAGTCTTGGTTTAAGGCTGCCGGGAGGAGAGAGACTATTTATGACGTGTTCCTCTGTGCTGGCTACAAGGACGGTGGCAAGGATAGCTGTCAGGTATGTGCTTGTGGTACAGGTGGAGCAACTGGTGAAGATGTTAATGAGAATGTGGGCGGATTATAGTATCACTGGTGATGTATAGGTGGTTGGTATAGGTGGGAAGGGAATGTATGTTAATAATGTAAATGGGTGAAGAAATGAGAGAAAGCAGAGTAGGTGGTGGTACAGGTAGATAATGTAGTGTAATGAGTTCATGTATGGAACTACATTTAGTGATGTAGGTGGGATTAAAGCTGTCAGAGAAGCGTGGTAAAGATTATATTTAGCAAGTGAATTGCGCAGTAGATAAAGAATTATGTACCGTGTAATACAAAAATATGATAGAATGGTAAATATATTTGTTTCAGTTCTTTACACTCAAAAACTGCAGAGACGTGATTGTTCCAGCACATACTCTCTAGCCTTCTGCTACAAACCACATCCACAATGACGATATATACACGTCCTGTAATTTCATCCCTAAGCAACCTTTATGATTTCTATGCCCATTGTGTGGTGTTCGCCTCCACTACCTCTTTCCACAGAACATTAAACAAGCTGGTCACCGTAGTGTTGAAAAGTTCCTTTAACCAGACTGTCCACCCGGTCAAAATTCGTGTGTTTGAAGTTTTTTTAAATCTCTTCCTTTATCCAATATTGAGAGAGTGTTATAACCTCTTATATCTCAGACCGTTGTGCTAAGAGTGTGTCTAGTAACAGTTCTCGATCTCCTGAAGCTTTGTGTGATCCCACATTGGTGCTTAGTTATCCAATACTGAGCTTTCATATTTAGTTCGTATTAACTTAGATTTTGTTTTAATTTGGTCATGGCCAGGTACCTTTGTCTTGGTTAATACTTAAAGGTTTGATCTTTGAGTAGCCTATTTGACCATTGCTACATCCTGCCCCTCTAATCCAACATTTATTTTTTTTTTGTATTTCATCTCGTTTGTCTTTTCATGAGCCTTGCATCATGCACAGGCAATGACACAAAGGAATGGATTCATCGAAGCTGGTCTTTGAAAGATGTAAGTAGGATAAGTGTACGATTGGTTCTAAATTCGATCCTTGCACAGGTAAATTTCCTCGCCTACGAATGCGCACACCCGCGACCACCCACCCACGACCGCCCACCCACGACCGCCCACCCACGACCGCCCACCCACGACCGCCCACCCACGACCGCCCACCCACCATCAGATCACTCCTCGAAGTCATACTTAAGTGACATCATTTTTAAGCAAATGTAACACTTGCATCATGGTGAAATAAGGTTTTTACATGGAGGAGAAAATTAAAATTTTCAATTTTATTCCATTGTTCAATGTGTTTTATCCCCATACAACACTACTATTTCATTTATGTCAGGTATATCGTATAGGAGATATAAGGAAAAATATAGAGATTCAGTAAATAAAGAACTTGTTTAATTGTTATATACTTTTCATGGAATTAAACTATGTGTAATGAGAATCGGTGCAACACATCACTCAACACAACTTCCTCCTGTTCTTAATATCTCGTGAATTATTTTTCCAATATCTCTTCACACGAGGAGTTCTCAGTTCCATCAAAAGTTGTGCATCTTGCCATTCACATTCAGGTGTCGCTGGAACATAATCAAATAAAGATGGAGTGTATGTAGGCGAAGGTGGACCTCGTTTTCCTGCTGCGCTTTCCAAATCCACGAGAGCTGTAAGCATATTCCACTGAGTTTCCAATCTGTGATGGGGGCGGTGGTGGTGGTGGTCAAAGAGTCTCGTTAGTTTCCACCATCACACTTTCAACTTTTTATCTTGTTCCTCCGGTGTGGTCACTATGCGTTCCATCTCGCTCATGGTGAGTAGGTAATCCGAGTGGGTGTGATGTATGGGCGTGGGGGCGAGAGTGGGTGGATGTTGGAGTTGGCGGACGCGTGGTTGGAGGGCGGATGCAGGTGAGGGAATTTACCTGTACGAGAACAGTTTTCTTTTTCTTTTCCAATCGTAGAGAGACATCCTACTGATACAGGCAGTGGTCAGGTATACATAATCTATAGCAGAGAAGTCTTGAAAGCATCCGTCTTTGTTCAAAAGAGTCAGGTTCATCATCGTTCATACGAGTTATTGTTCTTTTTCTTTGTATTTCGTGTATCTGCAGTGTTAGACGTATGTGTGATAATTGCTGTATATATTTTAGCAACACTTTAAAACATTTTGCTTATGGTATAGTGCACAAGATGCAACACTAGCACTTGAAATTTGCTTTATATTTACAATATAAACATGTCTGCACCCTTGCTCTTACAGTATGTAAATAAACCCTTTAACAATAATGGTGGCACAATGCCAGCTAAAGTGCGATTTTGATGTTCTTCTGAATGCTGAGACAGCTATAACAAGTAAATTATTGTATAATGACAAAACTACTATAAATGCCATAATCCGAAGCTTTTCCCATAACAGAAACAGCATCGACTTACTTGATACTTCAAAGACTGTGTAAAAAAAAGGGAATTTTTAATAGATAAAATTATATCTCTGTCATTGGATTGGGGATATTAGAAGATCTGCGTTGGCTCCGTAATATATTTTCCTTTCTGACCGGATGGAGAATATTCTTTCAGTCAGTGAGTTGAAGGATCAAATGAAGTGTCTACATAATTGCTTTATTTTTTATTCATATCTAAATTTTAATGAAAGATCTAATTTTAGTGAGAAAACTGAAATATCCTGAAAATGCATAATAAATCTCATCCCCAGCCAATGAATGAGCATCATTTGTAAATTAAAATATTTCTTTATTAATTGGAAAATTCATTTAGTCCACCATGCAAGTCTATGGAACATTCAAATTATTAAAGATTCCCTTACAGTCCTGACCTTGGCTCCCACTGGAGACAAAGGACAAGATGACGAATACTGTATATTCTGATATCAGTTAGTGACTCATCAACAGAAACTAGGAGGCTCAGGAGTGGAATCTATTTATACAAGAATCAGGTTATATACTCTGATATTGAAATTTAGTTGTGATGCAGTCATACCAGACTTGATCATTATGCGCTTGTGCATAAAAGAAAAATTATGTACCGGTACTACGGCAGCGGCGCCTTGATCGATATTATATATATACATTTTGCGAGATTTGCTGTTTGGCTGAGATATTTTGTATGTAATTTTACTGAGGCCTTCCACTTTCACATCATTTATAAGATGGCTAGATTTCCGTCCTGTGTTAAAATAAATGGATCATCACACACGAGTATCAGAGGAACGATATAGCAATTGTAAGTTTTAACATGGGTGACGAGGTAATGGAAGGGTGATGAAGATATTAAGTTTCCCACATTGGGTTCAAAAGCTATTATACCATTAGAGGTTTTCATCTGGCTTAGAGTTGAGGCAAACACAAATGTAACTCATGTATTATCACGAGATGATGATTATTAAGACATGTGCAACAGTTGGTATCCTTATTGTTGAAACGGTCCGCCTACACAGTAGGCTTCTATAGTCGAATACAAAAGCAGCAGCTGCCTCTGTATTTGAAGAAACCTGCTGTATAGGCGAAACATTTCAACAACAATAAAGGTACCAACTGTTTCACATGTCTTAATAATCAACTTGTCGGTATTTTAAAGCATTTTCAAATCACGGGTGGGGTTTGAACCCGCGGTCAGTGTCTCAAAACTACAGACCGTCGCGTTAGCCACTGGGCCAACCAGCTAATTGGATGAATCTTATTGAAGCTAGCTGGCCCAGTGGCTAACGCGACGGTCTGGAGTTTTGAGACTCTGACCGCAGGTTCAAACCCCACCGTTGGTATGGTTTGTTTGCAATCGTGTCATTACGATTTCGTGAGTCAGTCACGAGATAATACTCATTTTAGGCTTGATAACTATTTAATACAACTCCGCCAGTCTGGTGAGGATACAAGGCATAATAAATGCACTATTTAAGACGTTGTTATTCAGAACTTATTATATCGAGGAGTTAAGCAACTGCCAATAATATTTGCTAGGACAGTGACGAAAATTATAAAAAATAGTTAGGACGATGAATAAATTGTTACCACAAAAACATTTACCCAAATCTTGAAAACGATACGATAATTTGCATCAAAATCATATGTAAGAAGTTATTAATGTATTGAGTGTATATAAAATGCAATATATAAACTGTAATCAATCGCATACGGCTAAACACTGAGAAGTATATAAATGCTATCGAAAATAAAACATGAGTTGAGCAGTAGTCAAACAAGTTAACAATCTGTAACCATAATATTGATTTTAAATGCTTCTAAGTAATATAAAATAACTTGTATGTAAAAATGAAAAGATAAAATCTGTTAGGTTTCGATACGACTTAGTTACAGATAAGCACCAGATCCATAGTGGTCATAGAGATTATAATCAAAAAGAAGCGCTAAGCCACAAGGAGTGGTCATAGAGAACCCAGTGGAAATATAAATAAAAATCAGGTTCCATCCAAGGAAAAGGTGGGATAAAGATCTCGGCATTAAAACAACTTCCTTTAAGTAAACAATAGCTGTTGCTTGAGCACCGTAAGCTTATGCTTGCCTAGCCATATATACTTCTCTTTGAAAAAAGTATTAGTCGGTTAAAATGGCAAGATGTTTCATTAGAATGTTTTTTTTTTTCCTGTAGTCTTATTGATATCCCACCTTTTCGTAATTTAACAGAGGGTTTAAAGCTGACTTCTCAGAGTAACCAATAAAATCTTAAATATCACGTCACAAGATGAGAGAGCAGGTTTTCTTCACATTCCAAATATAAAGGATTATCACACAGTACCGTCCTAGAGTTACAGGTAATTTTTTAGTCAAAGGGAACAGTGCTTCTTGACACGAGTCGTAACTAGAGGATGACCCGTCACGAGATCAAGCATCCCCTGACCCACTGGAGATAGATTTTCACCGCATTTAAAACACACAGCATCACCACATAGCAGTGTATCCTGTGAGGATGAATGCTCACAAGTATCCAAAACAAAAGAGGATTATAAATAGCTTTAATCCTGTAATGTTTAGTTTCTGCTGATGAGAGACTTTAGATTGACACATTACTGTACTAGTTTTCAAATTATCTTAACAAATCTGTTGCACAGTTGATTCATTATAAATTTTTCTCAACATAACTTTTTTCTTCGTTCCTTTAAAATATCTTTTCCTGATAAACTGGCTAATGAAGTCTTATATTATCTGTCACTTGCGTAACTGTATTATGTACCATAATAATGCTTTTAAAAAAATTAATGTAGTGAATGTATGAATCATTCTAATATAGTTTTTTCATTTCCTCAAATATTTCCTTCAAAATTCTATGAACAAGAATTGTAATTTAAAAAATATATCATGTCAGTGTATTTACACTACGAATACTATATCCTATTATATATGGTTAATTTTTTTTGAACAAGCTATAGTCAGAATATAAATTATCTTCCCAAATAACTTATATATATATATATATATATATATATATATATATATATATATATATATATATATATAAATATCTTATTGTTTTTGTGCTGAACATAGTCCTCGTAAGGTAAGACTTAGAACCACTCTCTTCCGCTCATGTTTCTCAGCATATTAATGACAGATTGATTGTTTCTTCCATCCGGTCTTTAAAAACCTCAGCTTACTGCTAAACTAAAGGCTTTTAAACATCCTTCAAGCCTCACGTTAAGCTTACTTTGACGCTGCTAAAGCCTCTTAGCTTTATGTAAATAAGCCAGTAAACATCGATTCTGTTTCAACTTCATTCAGCTTCTAAATCCACATCTCTAGTGAATCAAAAATTTTTTTTTTGTCAGATTTTCTTCAACCCTTCGAAAACTATCTGCAGCACTTCTAACTTCTTTCATAGCACCTTCAGCTTAGCTGGCTGCACAGGCTGAAATCTCCCCATTTCTTCCCTCTTGGACTACTTACATTACAGGGTGACTCGGGAGGGCCACTGACAGTCAACAAAGACGGCAAGGTCATTTTGGCAGGACTAGTCTCTTGGGGCATCGCCTGTGGACGCACAAACCTGCCAGGAGTGTATACTAACGTGACTATGTACATCGACTGGATAAAAGAGAAGATGAATTAACTAAGAATCCCATGACTAACCTCAGACATACGATGATTCTCAGACTGTTTTTTCTTTTAATTTTTAGTGCTTTTGAGGACCCATGAAAATTTTAACATAAAACAGCATACTTGTCTAAGCATGCAAGCGTTTTAACATGCATGAAGTGAGGCATGTGCGTTTTAACATGTAATTAAATGTATGCATGCTAAGCCATCATAATGCTGTAATATGTGCTGAGACACGTATGCTTAGATGTATGCTTGGTCATGTGAGCTGTAGTTTTTGCTCATATTTTTTATAGTTAAAGCACGTAAACCAAGTAGTGAGTGTGAAAGGAGATTATGCTAAAAAAGACAGTGAATTAAGGTTATCTACAATGATTTGAGACAGTATTTGTGTGATGTGCATTATTTAAGACGGGGGTCTAGTAAGATTCCATTATTTGTACGATATTTATATTGCTCTTTTATTATTAATTTTTAATTATCCTTATTACCTTTTATTTACTTTAAGTGATACTGTAAAAGCTTTAAAGATAAAGTGAAATATTCTCCTGAATCTCTAGCAAATACTTTAATAGATTTAACTCAGATTTTGTGTTCTGCTGTCCTCTTAAGATTAAGGAAATAATTTTTTTTACTTTCGCCATTGGATAATTTCTTCTAAAATTTTAAAAATTATAAAAGATTTTCATATAAACTGCCAGTCATGTGACCTGAGAATTTTATAGTGCTCGGGGATTTTCATGATACTTAGTTCACTATAATAGGTATATAATTAATCAGTTAAATCTATATAAAAATCTATATGTATTTAGCTGTCATAATTTGGGTGCATAATTTATTTAGTGGCATGATTTTTTTTTTTGTCTTTATTCTCACTATTTCAATATTGAACAGTTTTTCTTTCATTGCAAGCTAATTTTCACTGAGAAAACTAGCAGATAGCTAGTGGCATAAGCTTATTATATACTGTGGCAAATACACAACAGCAAAGGTAACAAAACTGATTCTATGACCCCTTTTTTAAATCCTAGTTGCAGCTTCATTATTTAGAAGTCCGCAGTTTAGCTCATTAGCATTCTCATTATCTCTTACTATACGTCTCACTGTAGATTAAAATTGCAAGGAACACAAAATTAGAACTGCATAACAGAGCTTTTAAACCATTGGAATGGTTTCGAAAACGTTAATAATAACTTAAAAATTTTAGTTACCAATTTAAAACCTCTGGGTATGAAGAAAGATGTATAGTGTGTGTGTGTGTGTGTGTGTGTGTGTGTGTGTGTGTGTGTGTGTGTGTGTGTGTGGTGAATAGGTAAAACTGGTCAGTTAGCAAAACTCGTTTAAAATTAAGTCCTTCCTAAAATTTTCTTATACGTTTAAAGATGTATATTTTTTTCATTTATGTTAATGTAAAAATTAAAAATTTTGTACGAAAAGAACCTCAGAAAACTTGTCTAACCTTATTGTAACAAGCGCAATTTAATTTAGCCTAATCCATCTAAATATATTTTAGATAAGTTTACAATAATTTAATAGTAAACAATGAAATATATATTTTTCGTTAGGTTCAGAATGATTTTTGCGAAGTTATTGCATACAGATTTTCGTTTGCCTTATTCGGCAAGAAATGCGTTGCTGTTTAAGCCAAAATAGCAAGTTTGACTTATTTAGCACGACATTATATATACATATATATTACTCGTGCATGAGAAGACTCGAAAGGTAACTGGAGCACAGATCCAATTCCCTAGATCAAGAGCCCCTCACCAGCGTCAAGGAACCTCCCTTGAGGGGACTAAACCCATAGAGGGTCGTGCACCTCCTGGGGAAATGAGACGCAATCAGATTAGATATCCGGAAAGGAAAAAATGGTTTAAAAATCTTTTGATCTAGAGGCCCTCGCCGGCTTCAAAGTGAGGAGTCCTAACCCGCTGAAGGGTCTAGCACAGTGTTATCCTGGACGATTTTCAAAAATAAACAAAGCATCCAGAGTTACTAGGTTCCCCACTCCCTCGTCTTTATCACAAACCTCAGGCAGAGTTACTAGGTTCCCCACTCCCTCGTCTTTATCACAAACCTCAGGCAGAGTTACTAGGTTCCCCACTCCCTCGTCTTTATCACAAACCTCAGGTCGGTTCAGTACAGGTATTTATTTTAGTCATAATAATTTACAATAAATCAGAAATGATGACAGGGAAGACTTACCCTGGAGGAGCACTAACCCAGAATAATCCAATTATTAACCCTGGGAGTTTAATGATACCGGATAACCTAGGAAACCAAATAGTGTTTGTTTCCCCTGGGAATTTCTGGATGCGAACATAACAGCTGGATAACATATAGGCATCTATTTACTGACGAGTAGAGGCAGCCTCTTCCCCCTCCCCCCCCCCCCCCATCTCAAGACTGGAGCCCCGATGTTTTTGGCTGGAAGTCGAATGCCTTACCGCTGGGTCGCAAGATAAGCTTTGTTCAGGTAATCCGCCTATTATTTTAGATAGTATTATAGATTTACACAGTTCCATACTCACATAGATGTATAAGCATATACTGGTTATCTTATTTAACCCAGGAAATATATGAGATAGTGTACCACTATCTCAAGTAATTATAGTCCAGAATCTGTCCTCATTAGCAAATGTATATTAGTATTAACATTGCATTATTTACTTGTATTTCTGTACTAATTACTCATTGACAATGAACGGCACCAGTTTCTTGTATAATTATATTTTTTTCACTATTTTTGTTAGCCGTTCCTGACTTTCTGTATTCTGTGCCGTGCATAACTTATTTTCTTCGACATGCAGGGGGACTCGGGTAGTCCGTTGACCCTCATGAACAGTGGCCGTCGTTACCTGATTGGTCTGGTCAGCTGGGGTATTGGATGTGCCCGCCGCCACCTGCCAGGAGTCTATACTAATATTGCTTTGTTTTCTAACTGGATTCAAAAAACTATACAAACTTGAGTTTAGAAACTTAGCAACTTATTTTGAAGCGGTAACTTGGCTGTTTTTATTATTTATATGTCAAGTGTTTTGTGGTACTTGGTGCCACAGAAATGCCAGTCAGGGATGTCCTGTGGATAAAAAGGATTTTTTTTTCACACGGAGAGTATAATACCTTTATCACTTTTTAGTTGACGTGAGGGTGTTAGACCCTCCTGTAGTTAGACCTTTATTCATTACGGTATTTGTTTTTCTGTTAAAATTAATAAAGGTCCAACTTCTGAAATAAAAATCATTGTTTTTTCGTATAAAATGTTAATTTGCATATCTGTACCCCATTCACTGAAGTAAAAAGTAACTTTCTTGAAGCCACTACTGCTATATCCAAGTTTATAGATTGTATCTTGGGAAATCCTTTGCTTTTCAACGGGGCGTAAAACAGCTCTGGATGGCCAGGAAATGGTTGATTACTTAACGGGTCACCTAAAAAGACACGGAGTGTCGAGAAACATTTTCCTGGCCACCAAAACCCTACCTATCACAGTACAAACACTACACATTATACGCCCGAAAACCACAGGCAAACTGATTTGAGTGAAATACCCCAAACTAGCCTAGACTCAAATGTTATGTAAAAACTATTTACATTTAAATATCCATATGCTGATGTAAATTAGTTTGATGCTTTATAAAGCTCTGCAGTGTCTGATATGTCAGTATAGGAAAAATGCTAAATTTGTATTTTTCGTACCCAGTTACATTATAAGATTCGAAACAGCATCTTAGAGAGCAGTTTTTTATTCCAAAATATTGTGGAGGTAAGAGCTCCTCCATGAATATAAGAGATAGGCACGTTCGAGGTTTCTTCTTTTTATCCGTGCTTTATCACTAATTTCATATTTTAAATGTATTGCTACCATAGTAAGTTTGAGTGTACCTTATTTTCCGACATATAAGGCGCGCTTTTTTTTTTTTTTTTTTTTTTTTTTTTTTACCCCATGGAAAGTCTTGGATTATTATTATTATAATCAAGGGGGAAGCGCTAAACCCGGAGGATTATACAGCGCCTGGGGGGGGGGGATGTGGAAGGCATTCAGGCTTAATTCGGGGAACTGGAGCACAGATCTAATTCCCTAAATCAAGAGCCCCTCACCAACATCAAGGAACCTTCCTTGAGGGGGGAAAGTCTTGGAAAATTACCCTGCTCCTTACATGCTAAAGGTCAGCGTCAAAAGTAGGCTTTGGGTTACTGGCAAGTGGTGTTATGAAAGGACATTTTCATATTAATAGTTTGTAATATTCGCAATGCTCCTGTGTCTTACTTGCCGGAAAATACGGTAATAATTTATTGGCCTTGCAATGTATCCAGGAGAGAGTCAGATCATCGTAACTGGAAGCGATGTGCAACTAACCCGAAATATTGAGGAAAGTTTAGACAAATTTCGATGGACTTTATAACGGTCCAGGACTCGAGGAGGGAGGCTCGTTGCTGGTAAAGGATTTTCATTCCATGTAATTGGCCCTACCTTTTATTTCCTCGGATCAAATCCGATTGCCTCCCATTCATAAGGCTCTGTAAGCTTTCAGCACTTTACTAATTTAATGATAAATAATGAAGTTTTAGAAGAAATGGAGACGTCTATAAATGCCTCTTAAAAACTGCGAGAGAGTTGTAACAATGGCACAGTAATGTTGCATAATTCAGTCACTCGAGTAAAGAGTCATAGACCAATGTGAAGTCTAGTACACGAAAGAAGTGATATAGTTAGGACACTATCACAGTCTGGCTAGTCTGTCCTGATGAAACAATGGGACAGAGACAGAGAGAGACAGAGACAGAGACAGAGAGACACACCACCATTGTGGTGGCGATTCGTCCTCGGAAGTTCATAAGGCATACGTGAGGCCTGGTCATGGCCCGGGCCGCTGGGGGCGTTAACACCCGGATCACCCTCCAGGTATGTCTGGTTTTGAAAACAAATATATGTAATTTTAGGTGATCTTTCAAGGTGGTACTTTGATGCTAGTGAGGTACTCTTGATCCAAGGAATTAGAACTACCCCTCCCCTTCCTCTGTTCACATCTGATTACCTAATTCAAGCCCTGTATAACCTTACGGGTTTAACACGTGCCCATGATTATAATTCCTAGAAATCGGAGCTACCTTCCTCTTCCTCGGATCAAACTTGAGTACCTAGTGAGCAGGAGGGCTGTATGACCCTTACGGGTTAGCGTTTCCCATGTAATATAATATTGTACATAATTTTGATATTGCAGTAGAGGCTCTGAAAAAAAAAAATCATGAAAATGATAAAATTAACTCAAAAAAAAAGGTACTGAATATTTTTTACTTTCAAGGCAATTAATAAAAGTATTGAGAATGTGATATCATTTTTGAATTTGAAAACATAAATAAAAGTGTTAACCGAGCCAGGTATAATTTAGCTGTGATAGGAAGTTATCCTTATCAATGGTCGTTATTGTACCACAACTTGTCGTATTGTGTTCAAAAACCTGGATGATCCATACGGGTTTTGCGCACATTTTGGAATAATAATAGTGTTTAATAATAAACTTGCGCCAAACCTGTGCGGATCAAACAGGGTTGCAAGTTGTCTCGTAGCAGCCACCGTCTCTGAAGACTTTTTTCGAGGTGGTGAAGAGCTCGTAATCCTAGGAATTTGAGCTACCTATTCTTCCTGCAGCGCTGTATGATCCTTGTAGGTTTAGCGCTTAGTAATGATGATCTTCCTGTAGAATGAAAGGTGACCAAATCTAATCGCCTTTCATGCCCCAGGCGCTGTATGATCCTCCAACACGGATTTAGCGCTTTACCCTGTGCATATATTTGTGTATGTGAAAACTATCCAAGGAGCTGGATCTCCGAGTCGTGTGTAAATACTGTAACGAAACACTTTTTTTTTTTGTCACCTATTCACATTGTATATATCGTGTACACACTTTCCTCCACCGTTGTGAATGCTTGTGTTTTGTAAGTCGTCATCATTGTAAAATTTTCTGTAATTAAATATATTTTACAAACCGAAATTCATTACCCTCACATTATTTCTAAGATGACATTTGTTGGAATATTGAGAATTAACACACACCAGGGGCCAGGAGCTGAGTCTCGACCCCTGCAACTATAATTACGCGAGTACACATACACAGAATGGGAGGTAATCACTTGATAATCACAGAAAGGAAGAGCAAACTCCTATGCAACAAAAGCCCGTCACTTCCCACACTGCACCTCTCGCTGAGGCATCAAAGGGGTGATCTTGATGCTCTTAAAGGACTACTTCAGGGAAGTAGCAGCTACCTTTCGCTCTTCAGGTTGAGCTTGATTATCTCCCTTTACGTAGGAGTTGTATGACCCTTAGGGGTTAATCGCTTCATATTATAAAATAGTGTGATACAAAGCAATAGACTTTAGCACTGAATTCATAAAAAAAAAGTATTTTTCACATTTTTCCGTTGTATATTGGTGTGTGTACAGTGAGCAGCGGTGTATGTACAGAGTTCACTTTCCTAAAGTGTTAAAGGTAACATGCAACCTTAATGACTCGTGTAGTCATTTATTTTAACCTAATAATTCCACGAATGACATTTCCTGTCACTTAGTGTACGAGATATACAGAAAATGCTGCTACTCTTTACCAGTAACGGAATTTAATAGTGATGCTCACACTAGGTGGTAAGTGTAGGATGCTCACACCAGCTGGTCTACCTACCTTGAGTCTACCGGGAGGGTATTCCGGGGATCAAAGCCCCCGCGACCCGGTCCACGACCAGGTCTTCCGGTGGATCAGGGCCTGATCAACGAGGCTGTTACTGCTGGCCGCACGCAGTCCGACTGATCCGGCACCGACTTTAGGTATCTGTCCAGCTCCCTCCTAGTGAGTGTAGGATGCTCACACCAGGTGGGGAGTGTAGGATGCTCACACCAGGTGGTGTGTAGGATACACCAGGTGGCGAGTGTAGGATGCTCACACCAGGTGGTGTGTAGGATACCAGGTGGCGAGTGTAGGATGTTCACACCAGGTGGCGAGTGTAGGATGCTCACACCAGGTGGCGAGTGTAGGATGCTCACACCAGGTGGCGAGTGTAGGATGCTCACACCAGGTGGTGGAACTTGACGGGTAAATAAACCAGACATTGTGTACATGCAGTATGATGTACCCGCATCTGAACAATGATGTACCCGCATCTGAACAATGATGTACCTGCATCTGAACAATGATGTACCCGCATCTGAACAATGATGTACCCGCATCTGAACAATGATGTACCCGCATCTGAACAATGATGTACCCGCATCTGAACAATGATGTACCCGCATCTGAACAATGATGTACCTGCATCTGAACAATGATGTACCCGCATCTGAACAATGATGTACCCGCATCTGAACAATGATGTACCCGCATCTGAACAATGATGTACCCGCATCTGAACAATGATGCATTATCATTATGCAGGTGAAGAAACCTTATTCCAAGGAACTGGAGCGATCCATTTGGATCAAACATGATTCCCTGAATCCTCAGGTGGTATATAACCCCTAAGGGTTTAGAGTTCTTCCCATATGCTAAAATAATAAAAAAAAAAATGAACATACAATGGGATGAAAATCCTCTTACAACACTAATAATTTATTTTGTACTTTACACAAATGTATAAAAACTTGTTTGTTTACAACACTAAAATCTATAACAATATGCAAATTTAGCCAGGAAAAAAAAAAAAAAAAAAAAAAAAAATTAACTGATAATTCTTTATAGTACAATAATAAAGTATATTACTAAAAAATGTAATAATCTATTACTATGTAACTATTATTATTACTACTACTACTACTACTATTATTACGGTAATGTAATTAGCAACAACAACTGTTATTATTCTGTAAACTCCAGCGTTTAATTACCCGGTCGGGTCGAGCACTTGTGATTATCATTATAATCAGAGCTTTGAGAATATACAATAATTTATAACAAAACACTGTTTATTGGAGTGCTGTATGACCCTTGTGGGTTTAGCGCTTAGTTATGAATATAACGCATATTGGAGTGACAAAAATTAAAATAAAAAGATATACAATTGTAAAATCCAATAATTCTGTGACCCCGTGCAGGCTTAGCGCTTCCCAATAAATATAATAATCCGATAATTCAGAGTCCAAACATTATTTATTATTTTTATTATTGAGATACAAATCCCCTGAGGAATGGAAAGGCAATCAGTTTCAATCCAAGAAAGAGGAGTACAAGTCCAAGTCCTTGGATCAAGAGTCCTCAACATCAAGGAACCTCCCTCTAACTTCAGCTGTAAGGAATGTACTACCATAACCCTTCCAGAGGTACCTTGATATCAAGCTGGTCAGGAGCCCTTGATTCAATAAAGTGGGGGCTACCCTTCCCTTCCCTTCCTCGGATAAACTTGAATTTTCCTCATTGCCTCGGTAACCGTGCGCGCACGCACGCACGCACATGCACGCACACGCACGCACGCACACACACAAATAAGTTGTCTTAAAATATATTTTTTACATCTACTCCATGTTACCGGTAAGTTACTCTACTGCCACTACTGCCTCACTAGATAAATTACACACACGTCCAATATTTGGTTATCTTTGACAAACGTTTCGCCCCACGGTGGCTTCATCGGTCCAATACAGAGAATTTATTATTATAATCAAAAAGAAGCGCTAAGCCACCAATACAGAGAAGAATGGTTAAGGAAACCACTGTGTCGAAACGTTTCCTCAATAAAGACGCCTAAGTTTCGCACGTGTGTCTAATTTATCAACTTGTCGGTTCTCTGAACCATTTATCTGCATTACTTATCATAAGTAGGTTGATGTTTCTGCCTGGTAAGTAGATTTACTATTCCTGCTTTACGTAAGTAGCTCTGTCTATTAATCTACTAATTAAATAAGGTTGCCGCGTCTCTTTGACTGTTAACTCTATTATTATTATTCATGGGGGAGAGC